GAAAGGCACGTTGACAAAGTCTAGCGAGCTTTAGGCCCTCAGCCATAATACCGCCTTCCCATTTCTCTCCGTCTGTCCCTCCACGACAGAAGCCATGCTAAAGGCTCCGCCCTCCCCCGCAGCGGGATTCGTCCGCATCAGTGACCGGGACCTGACCGAGATCGAGCTGCATTCCGTCGACTCCATCGCCGACCTGCACCGCTTCAACGGCTGCGCCGATCCTGGCGCCAAGACGCAGGCCGGTGAGTGCTCCTGACCTCTCCCAGCATGCACGCGGGTTCCCACTTTTCTCTGTCTGGGGTTCCGGGGAGGGGGGGCGAAGAAGCCGAGACCGCCACAGCGGCAGGCCTCGGCACGACAATCCCCGCGATACAACAGAGTCACTACCCTGAGCGGGACACAAGGCCGGAGGAATTCTCACCGGGCCGTCAGGGCTGGACTGTGGACGAGACCGTGTCGGACACATGAAAATAAACTCACTTGAGAACGTCCTCACGTGTCACACCGGCAGCTGGGATTGTGGAAGAGGCCCGGATAACGGAGGCAGGCGTTTGGGATGATAGGGATGGACGTTTCCGGCATCGCAGGGCAGACGTACTGGCGGAGGGATACCCGAGGACCGAACTGACCTGGCCTGTGTCTCCCCCTTTCCCCCAGGCAGCAGATCTCCCCGCCCCCAGCACGGCTCCTCCAATGGGAACCTTCTGGCGCTGGACGCGCCGGCTGTCTGTCAGACCGGATACCCAATGAGGCGGCGGTGGGGCAGGTGCTGTGCCTGCTGCACCCCGGGGCTGTGCCGGTTCTCCTGGTTGTGTGTGGCAGTGACCCTCCTGCTGGTGGCCCTCGCGCTCATCTTCTACTTCCTGGGTGAGGGCACTTCCTGCCAGGAGCACGGTCCCTCTGCCGTCTCCTGGTTCCATCAGAGTGGGGGGAAAGTTACCTCTCAAAAAGAGCCACTTACTGCTACAAAGGGCTGCTTCCCTCTGCTTGATCATAAGATGGGCAGAAATTGCCTTAAGGTTAAGGGCGGCTCAGTGCCTTGCAGTGCTTGGACCCTGGATTCGATTCCTGGAGTGCTGTCCGCGTGGAGTTTGCGTGCTCTCCCCATGGGTTCACATGGGTTTCCTCCCATAGTGCAAAGACAGGCTGGTGGGTTAGCTGGCTTCTGGGAAAAGTGGCCCTGGCGTGAGTGTGTGCGTGTCTGTATGTGCCCTCTCCTGGGTGCACCCTGCCTCGTGCCCGTTGATCGCTGGGATAGGCTCCAGCTCCCCCACCGCGACGCTGAACTGGATCAAGCCGTTAGGAAATGGACAGGTGGATGGACCAGAGTGAGAGTGCTCCGGAATACAATCCGGACCGGTCTTTTTCGCCCTGAGCTTTTGGCCCCTGTTCTCCAGAGCGTGGTGTGAGGTTCAGAAGCTGGGCAGGCTGGCGCCCGTGCCTTCGAGGATGTTGAAGGGGGCGAGCGGTGGCGAAGGTGTCCAACTGGAGTAAAGTCCAGTGAAAAGCACATTAGAGGCAGTGTAGCATGACGAGGGAGCACGCTGAGAAGACCACGCCAGCCAGCCTGCCGTTTTCAGCTTTCTAAAGGTTGTAAAAGCCAGCTCTCCCTCCCTCCCTGTCTGTCTCTCCTGCAGTCCAGCAAGCTGATTCCCTGTACGCCCTCTCCCAAGCCTCATGGGAGAGGAAGGCGCTGTCCCGGGAGGTCTCTCAGCTCCTCCCTGCGCTGCAGGAGCTGCTGCGCAACCTGACTGCCACCAGGGGGCGCCAGAGTCCCTGAGGAACCCCCCCCACCTGGGACTCAGACCCAGACCCAGACCCGGACCCCAGACCGGCTGGCTCAGGCCCGGGCCCACAGAGTCAGAGCCTGGCCGGGAGTAAACCGGAGGAAGAAGGACGAGCAGAGCCCGATCAGAACGCGCACCCCTGCACGCAGCGGCGACGGCCAAGCCATGCTGTACACATGCCCGGCTCCAGGTCCTTGTAGGCCCTGTGATGGAGGCGTTTTTCATGGTGTTGATATCTTTTACTTTCCTTAACAAAAAATGACGTTGACATGACTCTTCCTCTGTGTGTATTCACTGTGCCCATTCTTCCCAGATACACATACATTTATCCAGGGAGAGAGATCTCTGTTACAGCTTTTACCACACAAATAAAAAAGATTGAAATCTTCCCCCGGGCCCTCGGCTCAGAGCCTGCCGTGTCTGGTGGATAATCCCACCCCCCTGCTTCGGGGCCAGCGTCTGCGTCAGACCCTGCAGGACTGAGCCCAAGGCCGAGCTTCCAGGTGCAGGCGGCATGGCGCTGCAGGTGATCGCTGGCATTATAAACACCAGGACTGAGAAAAAACATAATTACTGTCAAATTATAAACCCTAACAAATCTGAGAGATTGTGCATTAAAGGTATAATTGTTGATTATCAAAGCTAAAGTTCCTGGTTTATAAAGCAATGTGAAATTAATTAAACTACGCTAACGAATCACTCATGGCTCTTCCTGCAAAGTTCAATAACACCCCTCCGCATTCCTATTGGCTTGCGTGCGAGGTCAAAGGTCAGGCCCACGGCCCCCTCAGAGAGACAGGCAGCTCTAGTGCGGCAAAGTAAGCTGTAGACCTTTTTTATTTTATTTTGCAAGTATGTCTGCAACAGCACCAAATTGCTAAACAGTGGTCATCTGTTGGTTGTCTAAGTTTATAAACAGATAAGAAAACAAAACCCCGCCCCTCTTCTGCTTTGAGCAATGAGCAATGCCAACAGATCCGTTTTGACAGAAGAAACGTTTCTCAGAGACCTTCACTGGTTTGAATTATAACCAGTAAGCTTATGGCTCCCCCTCCCCGTGACCCTGAAGTGGACGAGGCGGTGAGAAACTGGATGGATGGATGGATGGAGGAGCCAATAAGTCACGGTCTAAAGAGAGGCGGTGCCTGCGCTCGAACCCGACTCGGAGACTTTAAATAATGGCGCCAGTCGTTGATGTTCAGCAGTCTCCCGGGCTAGGAGGCGGCTGTGCTTTCACCCCCTGCGCTGGGCAGCCTGTCCTGACACTGGGGTCCCGCCCAGCCCTGGTAGCACACACAGCTGAAGGCGGAGTCCCGCAGGCCTGGGGGCGCGACCTCTCCCGGCGACCCCAGGCTGGCGGAGGGCAGCGTGGCACCGCTGTGGGGGTCCCGGCGGGCGCAGCGCCCGTTCCCGCTGCACTCCAGCTCGCTGCACCGGGCGGCC